CAGCAGACAGCTCAGCAGCTCTTGTCCTGGAACTTGAACCCCATCTGCTAACTGTGGGTTTGGCACACAGGAATGGAGAGATATGTATGTGGGGCTCCCCCGTCACCTGGGACTATAAAAAGCGCCAGTACAGTGACACTGACTTTGCAGCAGAGTCCACACAGGAAACCCTCCTTTCCTGGGCCTGTGGTTTGGGGTAGCAAGCACGTGGGTCCTCTGTCCCACAAGGCCTGGTGTTGTCTGCCTCTGGAGAGCCCAAGAGCCGCCCTGGGGAGTCGGGGTGCACACGTGCTCTCGGCAGCAGCTGAAGTCCGCACACACGTCTTGTCCAACACGAGGTGTCACGGCACAGGGCCTCTGCCTGCGCCCTTCTCCATAAAACTCATTTTCAAAGGTGACCTCAAACTAGGGCCCGAGTTCCCCTTTCCTTCCACGAGGCTAGCATTTACTGACTGCTATATGCCAGGTTAATCTCTTTATTCTCATTCTCTTTTCTTTTTAAAAATCTTTGTTTTAAAAACAAAAAAGAATGATTTATTTTGGGACCAGCAGATGGTATAATGTTGCTAGACTTTCACGTGGTCGGCTGTGGTATGAGTCCTGGACCTGGTGGCTTAAATTCACATTAGGCACATGTGCATGTGTGCTCAAAATCCTGAGAGGAGGGAACCAGCAGTTAGCGTAATGGCTATGTCACTGGACTCCCACGTAGTCGACCGCGGTTCACATCCCGGACCCGGTGGCTTAAAACTCATGCCGGGCACGTGTGCGTGCGTGCCCAAGATCCCAAGAGGAGAATGGAGGAGAAGAGATTGCAGCGTGACCATCCCCTCTGGGGGGTGATTTCTCGCTTTCTGTCTCTATGTCTCTCTCTGTCTGGCGAGCGCACGCACCCTATAGCAAAAACCTCTCCAAAAAAAAGAATTATAAAAAAAAAAAATTCTGAGAGAATGGAGAAGAAAGAGTTGTGGCATGGCCAACCACAGGAGGGTGTGATTTCTCACTTTATCTCTCTGTCTCTCTCTCTAGCGAGTGCATGCACCCTATAGTAAAAATCTCTAAAAAAGAATGATTTATTTTAACTTTATTTATTTATTATCATCATTATTATTAATTTGCTATAAGGCACGTGTGCTCACCAGAGAGCAAGAGAGAGGAAATGAGAAAACAAGTTGCTAGGTTCAGGACTTGAACCATGGTAGGCCATATCGGAATCTAGTGCCTTAATCACCACACCACCTGCTGGCCCTAGATCCTATTGCTAAAAGAATACATAATACATTCTGGAAATTGTGAAGTGTTTATGAATGTGCGATATCAAGATGTCACTATCTTTAGAATGCATGTGTATCCATGCTTATTTCGTGAGAGAGAGAAAGTCAGGTACCCTTGATAGGGTTTCACCATGCCGGGTCTCACCATGCCGGGTCTCACCATGCCTGATCTCCTGCCCACAGCCTTCTGGCTGGTCAGGATCATGGGTGTATCCATGAGCATGTTCAAGCCGACAGGTCCAGACAGGATCAGAAGCTGGGGTCTTCCCATCTGGCTCCGTGACTGCACAGTGCTACCTGACTGGGCCTGAACACAACCTCCAATGGATCTGGGCGAAGGGGAACACATTGAGAACCAGGGGCTACCATGCCATGTGCGTTGTCTCTCTGTATCTTCAAAGAATTGTAAGAGGATGGTCCTTGATGTCTCCATTTTACAGATTGGAAAACAGGTCAGTAGGTTATATAATTTACCCAAAAGAGGCTTCTAAGATGGGGCATCTGAGTTAGAAAGCAAAAATACTCTCAGGTCTTTTTTAAAAAAACTTTGTTTTAAAAAAGAATTATTTTATTTAACTTTATTCATTTTATGTATTTATTTATTTTAATTTGACCAGAGAGGGACATAGCAAGAGAGAGAGAAAGTGAAAAAGGAAGCTGCCAGGTCTGGGACTTGAACCGTGGTTGGTCATGTGGGAGTCCAGCGCCCTCAACCACCATGTTACCTGCTGGCCCCTCTCAGGTCTTTAAAAGGTTATGTGGTCCCTGGGTCTAGAAGCATTATTCCTCTGTCCCTATGTTTAGAGAGATTTCTCCACAGGCTTGATTCCTTCTCCCTCTGGGTAGGCTCAGTTAGGAAGCAGGCTTAGGCCCTAAAGACTGCACCCCCTCCCCCCCATATAGCACGAAAGTTTAGGGAGGGTTTGCAAAGTAGGTGAGAAGGTCTGGAATGGGCCCAGATGACCAGATAAGATGGTCATCACGTGTGGTCACAGAACCTTCTCTGAGGAAAAGGGGCTCCAGAGATGGGCATTCCAACCTCAGGGCATCCCGGGATCAGAGCTGCCCTGTGTCCCCTCAGCTGGGCCGGCCCCCTTCTTTGTGTTCAGTTTTTTCCCACAGCCCAGCAAGGAGTGTGCTGGGATCCCAGGCTCAGCCCCTCCTGCTGGGAGCACCCCATCCACCCCACATAAAAAGCTTGAGGGTGAAGAAGGGAGGGGTGTTCTCACTCCCAGAAGGCCTCGGCACCCTTCTCCCTTTCTGGGGAACAAGAAACTTGCTAATGGCTTGGGCCCCTTCCCCAGCCCTGGCCCCAGCCCTGGCTCCCCCAGACAAAAAGCTGCTTTACATGAGAAGAGTGGGCTGGCCTGGCCTTACCCAGCACTCAAAGAGGCTGTAGCCCCTGACAGCCGGGAGACTGACCCCTCCCCCACGCCGAGGCCTCGTTTACTTGCAATTAGCAATTCTTTGCATATCCCCCCACGGGACCACGGGACGGGACGCTGGCCCTCACCTCCCAAACCCAGCCTTCAACCTCACGAGGCTCCCAGCCTGGGCTCCCCTTCCCCCTCTTCCCCCCAGGCCCCTCCTTTCTTCCCCCCACCCCAGCCGGCAGAGGCTCTGTCGTCTCCCTCCCAGTTGTCCAAAGAACAAGGCACTGGGATGGGCCAAACCAAGGGCAATTGGGGGGCCTGGAGAGATGGAGCTGGCATTGCCTAGTCTGGGGGGGACATCCTCCTCAATCAACATGACCCCTTTCCTCCACTCGGCCTACTTGCCACACCCTCTCCAAATCACGCTTAGCTTTTGGATCAGCAGAAGGGAGAGGTGGAGGGAAGAGGTTTTTAGGAAGAACTGAGGGTGAGCTGGTGCTGTAGCAGGCAAGTGGTGAGGTGGGAAAGAGGTTCTGCCTGGAATTAAGTCGAGGACTCACCACTTCTCTCCTCTCAGCTAGACCCTTAACGCTCCAATTTGAGCTTCCTCCTCATTCAGAGGGCCCTCGGCATAGGGCTGGGGACTTAGAGGCTTCTGATTCAACCCTAGCCAGGCAGTGGCAGGGTGGCACAAGCTCGAAATATGAAAAAGAGTTGCTGGAATGCCTGGGTCCCTTTTAAGCTCATGCAAATCCATTCTTCAGCATCTGGTCCCCTAGGCAGGTAGAGGGATCTGGAGTGGGAGGAGGAAAGTGTTAGGATGGTCTCTAAGCCCTTGACCCATATTAGTTCCTCTAGGGTCCTCCCCTCTTCCCCCGTCACTGGCAGGCTTGTCCTGTCCCCACCAGGGGGAGCCCTTGGTACAGTGGGGGCTCCAAAGCTGTTGAGGAATGAAGAAGACTATCTTTTTTTTTTTTTTTTGAGAGATTTTCACTGTAGGGCGCGTGCGCTCGCCAGACAGACAGAGAGAGACATAGAGACAGAAAGCGAAAAATCACCCCCCAGGGGGGATGGTCACGCCGCAATCCCTTCTTCTCCATTCTCCTCTCGGGATCCTGGGCACGCACGCACACGCGCCCAGCGTGAGATTTAAGCCACCGGGTCCGGGACACGAACCGCGGTCGACTACGTGGGAGTCCAGCGACATAGCCATTACGCTAACTGCTGGTTCCCAAGAAGACTATCTTTAGCTGGGTCTACACCTCCTACATCCACAAGGCCTTTCCTTCCCAGTGATTGGGCCTGAATATTCCTGGAAAAGAAGAGTCCATCCTCAAGGGCATTCTTCCTGGGCCTTAACGAATCCGTGGGGTGGACACTCTGAGCTGGTGAAGGACAAGACAAGGTAGACGGAGGAAGCCTCCCCTGGGGTCATCTCAGCCCCACTACAGCTCTGTGGGGGAGTCAGGGATTCTGGTTGGTGTGGTGGTGGGAAGGGATGTCTCCTGGCAGTCCTCTGGCTATGAAGGGAATAGAGCGAGGATGATTTAGAGATTGCCGGGGGTCATGGTTGAGCTGAGATGGGCCGGGTGGCCTTGGGTGGCCCTCTCCCCAGTGATAGTACACTACCCAAGCAAATGAGGAGTGTGGTTTAAGTTTAGGAGATGAAAAGGGCAGCTCACACTCTTTTAACCAACTTTTTTTTTTTTTAAAGAATTATTTATTTAATTTTATTTAACCAACTTTTGATGGGCTCTCCAAACTCACTTGGAGTGCGTGTAGATACATGGGTGATAGTCACACCATAATCTCTTCTCCATTTCTCCCTCCTTTTGGGATTTTGGGCACACATGCTCATGCATCTGGAGTGTTTTTCAAGCTGTTGTCTGGTACTTGAACTGCACAGTTGGCTATGTGAAATCCAGCCTCTTTAACCACCTGCCACCAGCTGACCCATCCTTTCTTTTTATTTTTTTAAAGAATTATTTTATTTAACTTTATTTATTTATTTTGTTAAATTTAACCAGAGAGAGACAGAGTGAGAGAGAGAGAGAAAGAGACAAAGCAAGTCGCCAGAACCAGGACTTGAACAGCGGTCAGCCATATGGGAGTCCAGCGCCCTTAACCACCACGCCACCTGCCAGCCCCCAAACCTTTCTTTTTTAGTTATTTATTTAATTTATTTCTTCTTATTATTTTTATTTTTAATTTACTAGAGGGCACATATACTCACAAGAGAGAAAGTGAGAAAGCAAGCTGCCAGGTATGGGACTCGAACTGTGGTCAGCCATGTGGGAGTCCAGTGCCTTAACCACCATGCCACCAGCTAGCCACCATCCTTTCTTTTTCCAGTTTTTGTTATAGGCTACATGCGCTTGCTGAGAGAGGCAGAAAGAAGAGGGAGAGCGAGAAAGTGAGAAATCAGCCTCTGTGAGTGATGGTCAATCCCTTCTCTTTCATGCTCCTCTTGGGACTCAAACACACACACACACACACACACACACACATGCACACGAGTGCCTGGTGTATTTTGCAGGCCACTGGGTCCAGGACACAAACCGTGCAGTCGGCTCTGTGAGATCCTGCCTCCTTGACCACCACGCCATCTGCTGGCTCACCTGTCTCTCCACTGTGCTGAAAGCTCCCAGAGTAGCTCTGCCCCACGGAAATAGAGTATGAGCGCGTGTACCCTTTTTTTTTTTTTTTTAAGATTTATTTATTTATTCATTCATACAGAGAGAGAGAGAGGAAAGTGAGAAAGCAAGCCACCAGGTCCAGGACTTGAACCGTGGTCAGCCATGTGGGAGTGTCCAGCGCCTTAACCACCACACCACCTGCTAGTCCCTAGCACGTGTACACTTGAAATGTGCTAGTAGTCACAGTTTAAAAAGTAAAAACAAACAGGTGGAGATCATTCTAATACTACAGTTCATTTAACCCGACAGGTCCCAAATATGATCATTTCCACATATAATCAACATAAAAACTATTAATGCTATCTTGCTATATTTTACCTTTTTTTATTTTTAAAATTAGGTGTTTGGAATTGAGTGTACTTTGCACTTACAGCACATCTCAAGGTGAATCAGTCACGTGCTCACTAGTCACCTGTGGCTAGTGGTTACTATACTGGACAACACAGTTCTAGAGAACAGGGATGAGTCTGAGGTCTACACTAAAAGTCCAGATAACATCTTGTTTAAAAAGCAAACCTAGTGGCCTGCTTTCCTCACTTTCTCTCACTCTCTTACTCTATTCCTCTCTGCTCAAACTACAATAAGAAAATGAATAGATAAAGTAAAATAATTCTTAAAAAAACCCCAAAAAACCCAAAAGCCTATTTGGGGCCAGCCTGTGCTGTAATGGTTTAGGCAGCTGGATCCCACATGGCCAACTGCACAGTTCAAGTCCTAGACCAGGTGGCTTGAAAAACATGGCCAGGCATGTGTGCATGTGTGCCCAAAATCCTGAGTGAGGAATGGAGAAGGCATTGCAGTGTGGCTCTCCCCCTTGGGAGTGGGGAGTGATTTCTCACTCCCCCCCCCTTCAATAAGTACACATGCCCTATGGCAAAAACAAAACACAACAGCCCACTGTGGCCCGGCTTGGTGGTACAGCAGTAGTACAATACTCTGCAGTGCTGGATGCCCATGGAAGGTCAGGGTCTGTTCCCTGGTCAACCTGCACATGTGTGCATACGTGTGCCCGTGACCCTGACCAGCTGAGAAAGTCGGGGGCGCAGCTCTCATCATGAAATCTTGCTAAGAGTGTTTGTCTTTCTTTTTTCTTTCTCTCATGAAATAAATAAGTAAAACGTGAGGGGGCAGGGTGTGTGGATGAAAGTCCAGTTGTTGAAATCGGATTGCTTGTGTTTGAATACTGGTTCAATCACTAGCTGTGTGACCTTAACCGCTATCTGTGGTCTCTCTCTCATCTCTGTTTTAAAGAATTATTTT